AAAAAAAAAAAAAATATGGAAAGAAATAAGACGTTGTGTAAAGTGAGCAGATTTTGGAATCAGACATACTTGGCTTTGAGGTTCAGCTGTGTCCATTATTGTGTGTTTAAGTAACTTCGCCTCCATGAACTCTCAGCTTCAGATTTCTTCATTTGTAATTCAAGTATAATAAAGCCTACCTTGGTGGTGTAGTGGCTCACTTCTGTAATCTTAGCACTCTGGAAGGCCAGGGCTGGAGGATTGCTTGAACTCAGGAGTTCAAGACTAGCCTGAGCAAGAGTAAGACCTCATCTCTACTAAAAATAGAAGACATGTCAGGAGGCTGAAGCAGAAGGATCACATAAGCCCAGGAGTTTGAGGTTGCAGTGAGCTTCAATGATGCCACTGCACTGTAGCCTGGGTGACAGAATAAGACTCTGTCTCAAAAAAATTCCATTTTCTATAACCCATTGCTTATTTCAACTTTTCAGTGTGCTTGAACTAACACTTTTTTTATATATTTAAGAGATACAATGTGATACTTCAGTACATGTATACAATGTGTAATGATCAAATCAGGATAATTAGCATATCTACTACCTCAAACACGTATCTTTTCTTTATATCAAAACATTCAAAATGGTTCTAACTTTTAGAAAATACACAGTAAGTTATTGACTATGTTCCTCCTACAGTGTTGTAGAACACTAGGACTTCATTCTTCTATCTGGGTATAAATTTTTATCCATTAACCAAGTAGTTCCATCCTCCTCCCCTCCCTCCATTCCCTTCCTACTTCCTACTTCCTAATGACTGCAGTTCTGCTCTACTAATACGAATCCATAGGAATAAGAACACATGGTATTTCTCTTTTTGTGCCTGACTCATTTCCCTTAACATAATGTTATTCAGACATATCCATACTGCCACAAATGATAGGATTTCATTCTTTTTGTGGCTAAATAATATTCCATGGTGTATATATATTTTTTCTTTATCCATTCATCTGTTGATGGGCATTTAGGGTGATTCCATATCTTGGCTGTATTGTAAATAGTGCTACAATAAACATAGGTACAGATACCTCTTCAGTACACTGATTACACTGATTTCCATTCCTTTAGATAAATACCCGATAGTGGGATCATTGGATCTCTCTCTCTCACTCTGTTGGCCGGGGCTAGGTTTGACCTCTGGCATATGGGGCCAGCGCCTTACTACTTTGAGCCACAGGCGCCGCCCTCTTTTTCTTCTTTTTAAAGGGATAGTGTCTCACTCTGTCACCCAGGCTGGAGTGCAGTGGCATGTTCATAGCTCACTGTAACCTCTAATTCCTGGACTCAAGCAATCCTCCTGCCTCAGTCTCCTGACTAGCTGGGACTACAGTCACACACCACCACTCGCAGCTAATTTTTAAAATTTTGTGTAGAGATGGAGACTTACCGTGTTGCCCAGAATGGTCACAAGTTCCTGAGCTCAAGTGATCTTTCCTGCCTGAGCCTTCCAAAGTGCTGGGATTACAGGAGTGAACCATCATGCCTGGCCTTATTTTTTTTTAATAAGATTATTTAGTGTAATACACCTTAAAGTTTTGTGTCTGTGTTTTGCATTTTGCTGGGGTGGGGTGGGGTTGGTTTTTCTTACTCAATTCTGGATGTCTTTCCATGTCAGTGTATAAATTTATCTCATACTTTTGAACTGCTATATAATTTAAAAGTGGGGATTTTAAAGGGGGGGCACTCTTATTAGTAGTTCATGTGTTTTATTTGTTTGTTTATTTTTTGAGACAGTCTCGCTATGTCACCCTCCGTAGAGTGCTGTGGCATCACAGCTCACAGCAGCCTCAAATTCTCGGACTCCAGCGATTCTCTTGCCTCAGCCTCCCAAGAAGCTGGGACCACAGGCACCCACCACAATGCCTATCCATTTTATTTGTTGCAGTTGTCATTGTTATTTTAGCTGGCCTGGGCCGGGTTCAAACCCATCAGCTTTGGTGTATGTGGCTAGCACCCTACCCACTGAGCCATGGGCGCTGCTTAGTTCATGTGTTTTAAAAGCTAGTTGTTCTATCTAAAGTTTGTAAGTAAAGGAGAAATAAAAAAAGACGTGAAATTTTTTTTAATAGTGGTAGGACAAAGGCAGAGGAAGAGGATATGTACACTAAAAATAGAAGTGTGGTTGAAAATAAGTGATATTGGCTCGGCGCCTATGGCTCAAGCCGCTAAGGCACCAGCCATGTACACCTGAGCTGTCAGGTTCAAATCCAGCCTGGGCCTGCAAAACAACAATGATGGCTGCAACCAAAAAATAGCTGGGCATTGTGGTGGGCGCCTGTAGTCCCAGCTACTTGGGAGCAGAGGCAGGAGACTTGCTTGAGCCCAGGAGTTGGAGGTTGCTATGAACTGTGATGCCATGGCACTCTACCCAGGGCAAATGCTTGAGGCTCTGTCTCAGAAAAAAAAAAGAAGTGATATTGAGCTGGGCACTGTGGCTGATGCCTATAATCCTAGCACTCTGGGAGGCCAAGGTGGGTGGATTGCCTGAGTTCACGAGTTCGAGACCAGCCTGAGCCAGAGCAAGAGACACCCCTCCCATCTCTAAAAATAGCTGGGCTTTGTTGATGGGTGCCTATAGTCCCAGCTACTTGGGAGGCTGAGGCAAGAGCTACTTGGGAGGCTGAGGCTTGGGCTTGAGCCCAAGACTTTGAGGTTGCTGTGAGCTGTGACTTCACAGCACTCTACTGAAGGTGACAAAGTGAGACTCTGTCTCAAAAAAAAAAAAAGAAGTGATATTGATGAGCAGTAGACCCTCTGACAGTATAGAAAGCCAATACTAATGACCCAGAAGAGGGATCATTTTAGTATAGGGAGAGGCATAGAACCACGTAAATGTAGCCTCTGGGTGTTAGAGAGAGAGGGTGTGTGTGTGTGTGTATTGTGATAAGCAACATTAAGTTTTCTAGCTCTGGCACTTACCTTTACTGGTATAGCTTTGATTATATCACCTATATCGTCTAATATGGACTTCAGCTTATGAGGTAGTATACATAAAATAACTTTTAAAATGCAAAACATTGCATAAATGTGAATGTAGCTATTCTGTTATTAATGGAGAATTTACTTTAAGAAAATAAATTTAGGCATCTTATTCTTTTCACTTCATTGAATCAAACTAAGGACCAGAATTTAATCAAGATATGAATTACTGGCTCGGCGCCTGTGGCTCAACCGGCTAGGGCGCCAGCCACATACACCTAAGGTGGCGGGTTCGAATCCCCAGCCCGGACCCGCCAAACAACAATGACGGCTGCAACCAAAAAATGGCCGGGCGTTGTGGAGGGCGCCTGTGGTCCCAGCTACTTGGGAGGCGGAGGCAGGAGACTCGCTTGAGCCCAGGAGTTGGAGGTTGCTGTGAGCTGTAATGCCACGGCACTCTACCCAGGGGGACAGCTTGAGGCTCTGTCTCAAAAAAAAAAAGATATGAATTACTGTTTAAAGAGATTTTAGTAAAAAGTTGTTGTATCATTGTGCACTATATAGATCATCGAAAACTGTCTTTAGGCCTGTAATCCTAGCATGTTGGGAAGCTCAGGCAAGAGGATCATTTGAAGCCAGGAGTTTGAAACCACTGGGGACAACATAGCAAGACCCTATGTCTACAAAAAATAAAAAATAGGCTCGGCGCCTGTGGCTCAAGTGGCTAAGGCGCCAGCCACATACACCTAAGGTGGCGGGTTCGAATCCAGCCTGGGCCCACCAAACAACAATGATGACTGCAACAAAGAAAAATAGCCGGGCGTTGTGGCAGGCACCTGTGGTCCCAGCTACTTGGGAGGCAGAGGCAGGAGACTCCCCTGAGCCCAGGAGTTGGAGATTGCTGTGATGCCACGGCACTCTACCCAGGGGGACGTCTTGAGGCTCCGTCTAAAAATAAATAAATAAATAAAAATAAAAATAAATTAGCTAAACATGGTTGCGCACACCTGCAGTACTAGCTACGTGGGAGTTGGAGGTGCGAGGATTCTGTAAGCCCAGAAATTCATGGCTATGGTGAGCTAAGATCCCACCACTGCTCTCCAGCCTGGGCAACAGAGGAAGACACCATCTCTGAAAAGAAGAAGAAAGAAAGAAAAAGAAAAGAAAATTGTTTTCTGGTGTCTTGTTTACCTGGGTCTTACTGAAAGAAACATGAATAAGAGTCTAGCAGAACTCTGGCCTGGTATATATTTGCTTAAATGTTGACTTCATCTAATAAAAAATAAATGAGCAAGCCTCTGAAATCTAGATTGATTCTTCGAAAGTTAATTAAGATACTTCTTTTTGACCTTGTGCTTACAAAGTATGAGGGCTAAACATTATTCTTCAGTTATTTTATATTTTTCATAGTCTATAAAAGTCCTCTATCATGATACTTATTCAAATAACCATTATTATGTTGCTTTAGCATAATGTTCTAAGAAATTCTCTACTTTCTCTGTCTTGTTATTCATAGACCCATTTCCCATTTTGTTTCTTCTTTTTTTTTTTCTTCCCTCATTTGTAGTTTTTGGATGAAGACTTGAAGGTAGCTGGGAAATACAAAGGGAATGATTATAGCCAGTACTCTCCATGGTCATGTGACACCATCGGCTCCTACATTGGAACCAAAGATGCAAAACCAAAAGATGTTGTGGCAGCAGGGAGTGTGGAAATGATGGTATGTGTGATGGCTAAGCAATAATTAATACAAATCAAGATAAACTGATAAATTTTCTTCCATTGTAGTTTAGGCACAAATTGAGCTTTGCTTAAGAGTTTCAGCAATATTCTGTACTACGCAATTGAATTATATTCCAACTATATGGTTTTTTATCTTGTTCAAGTATAAATAGAAATCTTTTAATAATTACCTAGAGGAAAGAGCATTTATTATTTTTCTGTGCCAGTAGTGATTTCCAATATTGTTTAGGACCCAACTTAAATTATTTTATGTAATTAGTCAAGATCTTAGATTTCTTCAACAAATCAGTTAAAATTCTTTTTCACAACTCTGAAGTAGAACAAAGTTGAATTTAGTTAACAAGAGTAGTATTTGAATCAGAATTATAACTGCTCAGCTTCAAGTGAGCTTGGAGATGCTGCAATTTATTCTACTTGGGTTATTTTGTTTTTCAGTGAAAATAGTGTAACACCAATGTTTCTAAATAACCAAGCTTAAAATGTATGTCAATATTTCATCATAATTTCTTTTTCATTTTCTAAGAAATAAAACTTTCCAGGGCGGTGCCTGTGGCTCAGTGAGGAGGGTGTCTGCCCCCATATACCAAGGGTGGCAAGTTCAAACCCATCCTCGGCCAAACTGCAACAACAACAACAACAAAAATAGCCAGGTGTTGTGGCAGGCGCCTATAATTCCAGCCACTCAGGAGGCTGAGGCAACAGAATTGCCTAAGCCCTAGAGCTGGAGGTTGCTGTGAGCTGTGATGCCATGGCACTCTACGAGGGCAACAAAGTGAGACTCTGTCACCAAAAAAAAACAAAAAACAACTTGCCTTTGACACCTGTAATCCCAGCACTCTGGGGGGCTTAGGTGGATGGAGCACCTGAGCTCACAAGTTGGAGACCAGCCTGAGCTAGACTAAGACCCCATCTCTAAAAAATAGCCAGGTGTAATGGTGGGTGCCTATAATGCCAGCTACTCGGGGAGGCTGAGGCAAGAGAATTGCTTGAGCCCAAGAATTTGACATTACTATGAGCTATGGCACCGTAGCACTATACTGAGGGTGACAAAGTGAGACTCTGTCTCAAAAAACAAAACTTTCCAGAAGTCCCCCTATATGCACCTCTCTAATCTCATTTTTCTTCTTTCCTTCCTTCCCAGTATTCGCTATCCTGATTTTAGTGTTTAGTATTTTCATGGATAATGTTATACTATTTCTAAAGAATGTTATTTTGTATGTTTATAAACCTTAGGTAATTATATACTTCAACTTGCATTTTCACTCAAGATGTGTTCGTATTTATACCCCTAGCTCAGGTTCATTCATTTTAACTGCTTTTTTTTCTTTTTTTGGAGACAGAAATTCACTCATTTACCCTGAGTTCAGTGCCATGATGTCATAGCTCATAGCAACCTCAAACTCTTGGGCTCAAGTGATTGATTATCTTGCCTCAACTTCCTCGAGTAGCTGGGACAACAGGTGTCCGCCACAACGCCCCAGCTATTTTTTAGAGATGGGGTCTTACTGTGGGTCAGGCTGGTCTCTTAACTCCTAAGCTCAAGCAGTCTGCCCGCCTCGGCCTCCCAGAGTGCTAGGATTATAGGTGTGAGCCACTGTGGCTGGCCCATTTTAACTGCTCTTATAGGTGTTGCATGGTAACTGATTCCATACAATAAATATATATAAATAAATATATAATCTAAAAAATTTCATTTTTGTATTGGTAGACATTTAGGCCTTTTTTGATCTTTCTTTTTTTTTTTTGAGACAGAGCCTCAAGCTATCCCCCTGGGTAGCGTGCCATGGCATCATGCTCACGGCAACCTCCAACTCCTGGGCTCAAGCGAGTCTCCTGCCTCAGCCTCCCAAGTAGCTGGAACTACAGGTGCCCACCACAACGCCTGGCCATTTTTTGGTTGCAGCCATCATTGTTTGGCGGGCCCAGGCTGGGGATTCGAAACCAGCACCTTAGGTGTATGTGACTGGCGCCTTAGCCGCTTGAGCCACAGGTGCCGAGCCCTTTTTTGATCCTTCATAGTTATATGTAGTGCCCAGTGCTCCTTATGTATACACTTGAAAGTTATGCTTAGAAATGGTATTGCTGGCTCGGCGCCTGTGGCTCAGGCGGCTAAGGCGCCAGCCACGTACACCTAAGGTGGCGGGTTCGAATCCCCAGCCCGGACCGCCAAACAACAATGATGGCTGCAACCAAGGGATGGCCGGGCGTTGTGGCGGGCGCCTGTGGTCCCAGCTGCTTGGGAGGCAGAGGCAGGAGACTCGCTTGAGCCCAGGAGTTGGAGGTTGCTGTGAGCGTGATGCCATGGCACTCTGCCCAGGGGGATAGCTTGAGGCTCTGTCTCAAAAAAAAAAAAAAAAGAAATGGTATTGCTGGGTTTAACAGTATGTCTTGATGATTATTTTTAACCTAATATTCCTTATTAACTCTTACAAAGGTTTCCTAGGTTATTATATAGGTTTTCATTGATAAATACTTGCCCAACTCATTAATACCAGTATTTGGTAATTGGAAAGAAGACTTGGATGCTGATAGCACTGTAAATGAGTAAAGGATATCTGTAGCATAAATATGATTAGATGCTAGCCAAAAAAAGAGAGGGTTATAGAGGAGGAAAAGGTAAAATAAACCTTTACTTTTGGTTTACTATAGGGTAACTTTGTTTTTAGGTCACTGTAAGCCTCTTGCTGGCATGAGATGAATGGGAGAGTTAAGCAGGAAGACTTTTTTTTTTGTAATTGACTTTTAGAAAAGGTTATGATATTAAAGTAACAATTATTAGCAAAATAAAATTTATTTCTTTAGATCAGTAAAGAATAAAAAAGGTTGCAATCCAAAAGCAATAAAGGCTTGGCATCTGTTGCTCAAGTAGCTAAGGCACCAGCCACATACACCAGAGCTGGTGGGTTCAAATAAATCCTGGGCCTGTGGCTCAAGTGGCTAAGGCACCAGCCACATACACCTAAGATGGAGGGTTCGAATTCAGCCAGGGCCTGCCAAACAACAATGACGGCTAGAACCAAAAAAAGTAGCCAGGTGTTGTGGTGGGCGCCTGTGGTCCCAGCTACTTGGGAGACTGAGGCAGGAGACTCGCTTGAGCCCAGGAGTTAGAGGTTGCTGTGAGCTGTGATGGCACGGCACTCTACCCAGGGGGACAGCTTGAGGCTCTGTCTCAAAAAATAAAATAAAATAAAAGCAATTGAAAAATCTCCCCAGATAGGTGAGAGAAGTCTAACCTAGTGCTTCTCAAACATTAATGTGCATGCAAATTACTTAGGGATCTGTCTATGTATTTTTATATGTAATATATATTACATAATACATAGAGCAGGGTGGTACCTGTGACTCAAAGGAGTAGGGCGCTGGCCCCATATGCCAGAGGTGGTGGGTTCAAACCCAGCCCCAGCCAAAAAAAAAAACAAAAAACCGCATAATACATAGAGCAATAAATACATATTTTACACACATGCAGTGGGTCATGATATAAAATTTATTTCTTACTGTGGAGAATGGCCAAAGGTTTTAAAAGTGATGTTTTATCTAACAACCAAAGGTAATTAATGATTTTGTCTTACCAGTAAGGGCATTATATTCTTGCTTAACTTTAGTACAGAGCTGGAAGAGATTATGTTAGAGAGAAATGAAGTGGATTTCTTATTTTGCTTTTTATCAGAATGTGGAGAGTAAGGGAATGAGAGACCAGCGATTGGATCTGCAGAGAAGAGCGACAGAAACCAGTGACGATGACCTTATCCCGTTTGGAGACCGACCAACAGTGTCTCGGTTTGGTGCCATCTCTCGAACTTCCAAAACGATATATCAGGGTGCTGGCCCAATGCAGGCTATGGCACCTCAGGGAGCTCCCACAAAATCTATTAACATTTCAGGTAAGAATCTCAGAGATAAACTGATCTAGAGGATTCCTAATGTCTACATAGGAAGATTGTCCATGTTTCTCATTTTTTTCTCCAAATGGCTTGATTGCTTTTATTAAAATAATGCATTCTTATTATTGAAGAATTCAAACAAATTAAAAAATACAAAGACTGAAGGTTCAGTGGAAAAGAAACAACAAATATCAACATATTATTCCCATTTTGGTAGATAATCTCAAATAGCTGCATGTATATGCCTTTCGGATTGTGAGTACCTTAAAAGATAAATCAACCCTAGGAATTACATCATACCACAGTAGAACATTCTCTTACAGATTATAGTCCATATGGAACCCATGGTGGCTGGGGAGGTTCTCCATATTCACCTCATCATAGCATACCTTCTCAGGGACACTTCAGTGAGAGGTATGAGTTGTTCTTTTTATTTATACAAACATGTAAAGCACTTTAAATTTACTCATCTTTTCTTATTTTGTTTTTCTGATCAGTAATATTTTAAGGAAACAAAACTTAGAAATTTACTCCATTCTTTCTTTCTCACCAAAGGGAGAGAATATCCATGTCTGAAGTGGCCAGTCATGGAAAACCCCTTCCATCTGCTGAGAGGGAGCAGCTGCGACTAGAATTACAGCAACTGAACCATCAGATTAGTCAGCAGACCCAGCTGCGTGGACTAGAGGTACCAACCTTTAGATAACTTTTGTGTTCCCATGTTTGAAGGGTACTCAGAGATTTTAAACAGAGGAACTTTTGAGATACTACGAACACAAATCTTTAAGATCTGTTTCTTGGCAGTTAGTATCTAAGTATCCATTCTTCAAAGAATGGGTTCAGTCCTGGGACAATAGGAAACTTAGAATTTCTACTACCTAAGAATAGAAAACAGGTAATCTAAAATTTGCCAATAGGCACTTATATTCCCATATGGCACATTTAAGTTTAAAGTCAACAAATGCTTTTAGCTTTAGGATTTTTAAACATTTTTTAAAATTTCCTTTAATCCTTAGTTTTTGTGAGAATCTTCGATGAATAGAAGCTTAGAACTTTGACTTTAAAAACAAAAAGTCCTTGGGTAATAAGCATAATAATAACACCTTTTTTTTTGAGATGGAGTCTCACTTTGTTACCCTCAGTAGAGTGATAGGACGTCATAGCTCACAGCAACCTCAACCTCTTGGGCTCAAGTGATCCTTTTGCCTCAACCCTCCAAGTAGTTGAGACTACGGCGGGTTCCACAATGCCTGGCTATTTTTTTTAGTGACGGGGTCTCTCTTGCTCAGCTGGTCTCTAACTCCTGAGTGCAAGCAGATCACCCACCTTGACCTCCCAGAGTTCTAGGGTTTGCAGGCATGAGCTACTGCCCCCCTATCTTTTACTGTGCCTAATAGATGGGTTAGGCAGGTGGTATTATCCACCTTTTTTTATTGAAGGATATGAGTTTTCAGAAGTGAAATGTGAACCCTGTCTTCAAACTCCAAATTCAGTGTTCTTTCCATCATGCTGCCTGACACTTAAAAAACAGAATTGAATAATTCTCAAAATCCCTTAAGTGTTCCATAAGGAAACTAGGTTTTGTTTATACCATCCTTTACATTGGAACATGTTCTTTGAATATGTAAAACTGAAGACATTCTAGTGGGAAATACATTGTTCCTTTCTAGAGGAAGAAATAGTACTATTAGGACACTTAATCTTTGTTCTCTAATTCATGGCTTTTTGTCTTAAAATTACTAATTTCTGTCCAAAAAGAATATCAGTATTGGCTCAGCGCCTATGGCTCAAGTGGCTAAGGTGCCCGCCACATACACCTGAGCTGGCAGGTTCGAATCCAGCCTGGGCCCACCAAATAACAATGATGGCTGCAACCAAAAAAAAAAAAAGAATAGCTGGGCATCGTGGCAGATGCCTGTAGTCCTAGCTACTTGGGAGGCTGAGGCAAGGGAATCACTTAAGCCCAGGAGTTGGAGGTTGCTGTGAGCAGTGATGCCATGGCACTCTACCCAGGGTGACAGCTTGAGGCTCTGTCTTAAAAAAAAAAAAAAAAGAATATCAGTATTATCTGAAAGTTTGCCACATACTTAACTCACTGTAGTTAAAAGCCCCTGAACAGGCTCGGCGCCTGTGGCTCAAGCGGCTGAGGCGCCAGCCACATACAGCTAAGGTGACAGGTTTGAATCCAGCCCGGGTCTGCCAAAACAACAATGATAGCTGCAACCAAAAAATAACCGGGCACTGTGGTGGGCGCCTGTGGTCCCAGCTACTTGGGAGGCTGAGGCAGGAGACTCACTTGAGCCCAGGAGTTGGAGGTTGCTGTGAGCTGTGATGCCA